GGCTACCATATTCTTTATTCTGCCATGATGCTAATTTTGACAATTTTTTACCAACAATTCTTTTCCCCTTTAAACCATCTACCAAACTGAATAAAACAATAAAATGTTCTAATAAAGCCCTACTTAATGGCTTAATATAAGTTTCAGATTTTTCTAAAAAATTGGCTAACTTCACGCTTAAAGCTGACGTCATAGTTTTCCTTTTGTTTATAACACTCAGCTTTTTGTGGCACTATATTTTGAGGACTTAAAGAATTAATCAGGCACTAAATATTAGCGTACGCCAGATATATAGTTTTTATATATTTTTTCCATTCTAGCATAATGCCTTCCTACTAATTAACCAGATTTATCGTAAATAATGAAAAAAATTATTTATGATTGATCAAAGAGCTTTCAAACTGAATTTCTCTCCTAACTATTACTCCAGTCGGTTTCTATATTAATAATATTAAGGAATGGATGATTATGTTTATAGATATTACATCCAAAATATAACATGTATGTTTCCTCTTTACAAATAAAAGGTTTATAATTATTCAAAGGACAAATGATCCATCGGTAAATTTAAAAAAAGGAATATATTGCCTAAAAAAATGAGTGTGGAATATTAATTTTATGCAATAATTGATCAAGTTTTCCAGAATAAAAATCTATATTTTTATAATATAAAATATTATTATTATTATCTAAAATCATCAAAACTTATCATAATATATTTTATGGCTATAAATCAAAAAGATTTTTTTATAGTTCTTTTTTATAAAACCAAACAATATATATCATGTTAGAAAAAATAGTATAATTATCTGTGACAAACTAAACATTGGGCATCACATTTATAAAGCTGATAATAAGTTTAATACTATCTTTTTATGTGAAATTATCATTTTTTAGGGTTTAATATAAGTGAAAAATAAACTCTGAAAATATAATATATTGAAAACATGTATATGTTATTTTTTTTTACAAGTATCAAGTTTTATTTTTTAAATATAAATAAATATTTGATTTATAAACATATTCTTTACCAAATAATTGTTAAAAATCAATATATATTCTTCCTTTTACATTATTATAACTTGTTTTTAATATATATTTTTCCAAAATTTTCATTCACATATTTTTCAATATTAGCTGAAAGATAAGTATCCCTAAAACAGATTAAATTTTTAAGTTTGGTTTTTATAGTTGTAGTTAATTCTATCGAATTTCCTTCTTAGATCACAATAGGAGTGTTCTCTATGCTCTTTCCCAGAAATTTAAAATGCAAAACTATATAATAAAAAGGGACATAAATAATAGTTCAACACTTATAACAACACTTATAACACGATTGTAGGCAAACATCTCAAAACCTATTTAGGTTTTGCAACCTAAAATCCATCTTAATTGACTTTCTTTTCTCCCTACTCTTTTCAATAATATGGATCAAAAGGGAATTACCATCTGATTAACAGAAAATTACTAAATATCACACGTCGAATTAAAAAGGCTCCAGTATTAAGATCAACCCCTCCCCCCTCTCTCTAATAATCCCTACAATGTCTATGATTTATATTAAGTAAGCCTCATGATATGCTTATGGCAATTTGAATTAATTACTATAATTTTATTCAAAAATTATATAATAGATATCTAGGATCATAATATATTTTTTTTTCTCTAACTTCGGGTACTATATTTTTTAAAAAAACTTTTTTATTATTAATTAAAAGAAAGCAAATATAATTTTATATGCATGCAGAAAGAGAAGTATTAAATAATATGATAGTATAAACAATAATAAACTAATCAATAAAAAAAAAGTTTAATAATCTTTTTGAAGATTTTTTTTATAGCAAAATGATCCTATTAATTTTATCCATATTCGATTAAAAAAATAATTTATTCAATTTCCATTTCTATTTTACGTCATCTGAAATAAACATACTTTGAATTTGCTAAGGATATTTATACCCTTTCATAGATTTATAAATTAAAATAGAAATCATAATTTTTAATAGCATGAATGGCTCAGAAGTATTGAACTGTGTCAAGGTTATCAAGGACTCGGGTTTGAGACGCGCATTACTTTTAGTCAAGATTTATTTTTGCTAAAATGAATTAGTAGTTCTAGGTTTATTTTACTGGATGAACTTCGTGTCTAATATCAAATTAGTTTTAGCAAAAATAACAAAATTTGACCTGGCCTGTCTAATCTATTCTACTAAAAAACAGATAAGAGGATTAGTTTATTTAAAAAGAAATATTTTTTTCAGTATTGCTATTTTCGACAAAATGATGTAGATCTCCTACGCCATTTCAATAAATTTAAAATATTGTTTTGAGCGTTGCAAGGCAAGGCTCTATATGTAGAAGAATAAGAGTTTTGAAAGAATAAGTATTATGTGGTAAAATATCTATTGGCCCATGTTTTTTATGTATACACACTTGAGAATTTAAGCTTCTCGAATTAAGTATCATATTCCAATTATTTCCTGAGTTAAAATTAGCTTCTAAAGCTTGTAAATTCTTTAAAGTATTAAGGAGCATATTATATATAATATAAATTCTTAGCGACTTAAATATTGAAAATAATTAAAAAGTTGTTAAAATAGTTTTTCGATTGGTTTAATGGCAAATATCATAAAATTATTATGTGGCTCTAGAACTTAAGTAGAAAAAAGCTCTTTATAATATTTAAGTAGATTCTATATATCTTATGTTTTAAAAATTAGGATAGGAATAAATCAAGATTATTTTTCAAAATTTAATTATTAATATTTATTAAATAAAAATATTAGGTACAATTACAGAAAAATCTACATCTTTTGTTTTAACAGTTATTTAACAAGCTCTTTCCCCCAGGCGCCTACTTGACTTACACCTAATGTCAGGAGCTATTATTATAAAATTCTACTCTATTATCACAGAAGTGATCTCAAGTATGATCAAATGATTGAGTTAGAACTTTCATTTGAGCAACAATTAGTCAATATTATAATAAATTTTTACAAATTTTTTTTAAATGGTAACCATACCATTATTACATTCAAAAAATATATTATTATCCCCTCTTTACCAATTGTGAGGAGGATAATAGAAATATATATTATAAAAATGGTTTACAATCAAGCAATAAGACAATTTTGAATGTATCTATACATTCAAAACATTATTGATCAACATAAAAATATTTCTCTGTATAGATAATATTGACCTAATTAAAGCTTTTCACATGCTGACCAAATAATTTCTCAAATATAAGGCATATTACTTCTTATAACATTGCAGTATGATAGAAATTGATTCAGTTTTAGTTTTGGTGAACATCGCACTTCAAGATAAATTTATATCATTAACCGGAGTATATTTTCTGTGGAGGGTTTGAGACTTGGATTGTGGAGGCCAATGGTATTATTACTAAAATGATGTTCCATTTATTAAAGGAGTGCATCATAGGAATAGTCAGGATAGGACAAAAGAAAATTCCCCCTTCGGAATATGGTTATCATTTTAAGCTAATAAAAATTTTCCCCTACACCCACAACCCCCTCTTCTTCATTTTCTCAAAAATGTATACAATATATCACAATGAACAAGAATATGAAAAAAAAATGAGTAAAAGTTAATTATTTTTAAATATCGACTTTAATTCAAAATTTGTTGAAAAAACGATTTTTATAAAAAAGTGATCACCCCTATATTATTTTATTAAAATCTAATATAGCATCTAAAGACCTCCGATAAAATTTACTGGAGCAAACCAACCCACTTAATAGTGCTCTTCTCCCCTTTAGCAAAATCCTGGGTAAGAGTATATACATTGAAGTCAGCTGTCAATTTCATTGGCTTTAGTAGACGCCATTTGAAGACATTTCGTTTGCCTTGCACATTTAATCTAGATATCTAGGATGTGCATTTAGCATGTTTGACCCTGGTTCGATCACCGTCCTAAGTTTAAATTTTCTAAAACAAGATTCTTAGCCGAGATCAAGGCATAGAAAAGGTTAGAGAGATATTGATTAGAGTTAATATAATATTTAACAAATGGTTTAAAAATTGGGTCTTTTTTTAATTCTCTGTTGTATCTAGCTTCTATCTCCAGATCCGATAATTTATCATGACCATTTAATAAGCCATTAACAGTTACCGCTCTGCCCAGGATTTGAATTGAACTCGTTATAGTTTCTTCTTTTTTTTGAAAAACATTACTTCATTTTAATTTATTCCAAGCAAGATTTATTTCATTTCGATTTTCCTTTTATTATTGAAAACTAATATGTAAAAGCACTTCTTGTAGGGATGCATAATACGAAATAAATTTACATTATATGAAATTTACCATTTTAGGTAATTTTTCTTTTACAACAAATTTAGTTGTTGAATTGTGGACGAAATGTAAAAAAAAAAGAAATTCATTATTTTGAATAAATTCTTATATTATTTGGAAAGATGTAAATTTGCAAATTTAATCAAATAATTTATCCAAAAACATATAATTTGAATATATTATTTTGTTATTATATTATCATAACAAATATTTGTTTTAATAAGTTTTATACAAATAATTGTAAAAAAATTAAGAACGGAAATAATTTTCCTAAAAATTTGTATGCTCCGAACATTAGAGATCGCTCTTTATAAATCAAAATGATAATTTTAAGGAACAGACACAAACCTTTTTACTTCGTATTCATGTTTTCTCTATCAGAAAATTCAGAATATTATACATAGCTTTCCAATCTTATCAAAAATCAGTATAATTCAGAAAATTAAATATAAATTTTTGAAACCAAATTTAATACTTTAAAAGTTAGTTTTACATATTTAGTATCGTGTCCATTTAAATATTTAATGTGTATTAGGCTCAAACTATTTAAATGCAAACACTTAAGACTCAATCTTGGAACATAAATTAGCTTTAAAAAATAAAAATTTCGTTTGAGGTTACCAGAAACTTATTTCTCAGTAACATGATAATATTTTATTTGTAAAAAAAATATATATTCATTTACCTAATTTCTGTGCCCTCCAAAATTTTCTAGACCCTGTATATTTAATGGTCAATTCGTCAGGATCTAAATAAAAGTGTCGCTTATATTTTTTTCCATTCCTTTTGTATTTAAACAACTCGCAACCCATCTTGAGAATTTTTATCATATCATCATCGTGTTTATCTTTGTCTGTAAAATCAATAGTAAAAAAATATGTTATTTGTAAGAAAGTCAATTAAAAAAATCCTTTTAATTAATGAGAAAAATATTTATTAACATTTAAATATAAGATCGGATCAGTAATGTATAAAAATTTTCAGTAATCGACTAATTCCAAGAAGTTATAAAATCGACTAATTCCAAGAAGTTATAAAATCGACGTTGATGAGACGTATTTTTTTTATCAGCTTCTTGTTTCCTTATTTTTATAGTACCTTTATATAGGATGATCAGGATTTTTTTATTAAACTTTCTTAGCTATGTTTATAAAATGTTATCACCCGATTTTCATGTTAAAAATCAACTATAACAATGTCAAAAAATAATTCAAGAATTTGAATAAATATGGGCAATAAAGTTAACTTACAACATGTTGTCATCAGACCCTTAGAAGTGGGGGTCAGGCGTGGCTTTATCAAATCTTATGGGTGTAAGAAATATTTTAATTTTGCCCAAACATTGACGTAATTGAGTCATTCGGTAGAAGGGGGGGGGGGGTAAGAAGGTAAAAAAAATTCCGTTTTTGCAAATTTAATTTTTATCAATTTATTTTCAGTTTATATTCAACTGTGCGTTGCATTATAATAAAATATTTTCATTTCAAATATTTTTATTTAATGTTTGTATTAATCTTATTTATTTTAATCTACAAATATTTCAAAGATAAATTTTTTTATTTCTTGTGTTCTCATGCAGTAAAATGTACAGAAACCGTCTTTTATAGAATTCGTTTTCTAAAAGAGGGAGGAGATAAGGTAGGTGAAAGGAAATTTAAAACGAAAAGAAAGTAATTTTAAAAAGGGGGGGGGGGTATTTAAAAATGCTGCGTCAATGAAGTCAGGAGGTAACCCGCATTTTGCGTCAAAAATGGTATAAAAATCACTGGTTATCATGAATGATTTACATGTACAAAATTATTAAATCCAATAATTTGGAAAAAATTAACAACTTAATTTTCATATAATCAGACTCTTTGTTAAAGAACCTTTTATATTATTCATCATAGTTTATTTAGAATAAAACAGATTTATTTTAAGATTGCTAATTTAAAATATAGGGTTGAGGCCTTTTTTTACTAATATTATTTCTACAAAGTTATGAATTATTCACATTTTTCAAAATTATAATTTTGTTCTTCGCGAAAAAAAATAATTCTAATGGAAGGACAAGTTACATACCAGAGATCCCTCACTTATTATATCAATTAAATTTTCCTGCCCTAAAACAATGATTGTAACATTAAAAAAATATATGTTAGCATCAATGTGTATTATAGTGTCAATGTTATCAATTATGAAGATCAAATTTCTAGGAAATTATTTTTGCAATTAATAAGTTTTTAATTTAAGTAATAGATATTATTTTTGCAACTTAAAATAATCACAAATTTTATTAAAGAAAAATAAAATATATATAACAAAAATTAATTGAAATTTTTTATAAATATAAATAAATATTTTGGCAACATTTTTTATTAAAAACTAATCTAAGGGATAAGGGAGATCGGATATAGGTTATCCCGGCCAGATAATTTCTTCTCAAACAATTTTAAAACAAAAAACTTTGATAATTGAAATTTAAACAATATGTGTATTTTATTAAGTTGCTTCAATGGTTCTAAAAATGTTTCATAGAAATATGCTAATGAAAACTTTTAAAGGCAAATTTAAGTTTTAACACGTCAAAATTAACCTTTTAATTTTTTACATTTTTTTTATGAAATTCCAAATGATAAAGTAATTTCAGTTTTATCATGCATAAAAAGATTGATCATAATGGTAATTTAATATCTTAAAATTAAATTATAATTAAATGTGAAAACCTGGGGCAGATTTTGCGGGGTACGTATTAGCTTTTTTTAAGCAGGGATTTATTTATAATAATAAAAAAATCCTACTATATTTATATAAACACCAGAAGTCACGCTTAGGGTCACGAATGCCAATATGAAGATGGTTGACTTATTTTTTGTAAATTATTTGGCCGTTTTAAGTGGCAACAAGTTCTTCCCGGTGATATATATGATATGAATGAATCTGGTATCATATTTGACAATGTATTTCATTTATTTACTTAGGAATAAAAAATTTATATAATATTTTTTAAAAATCTAAAAATAAAGAAGCGTTACAACGCGCATTGTGAAAGGCACCTAGGATGTGTTTCATTTTTCTTAAATACTCATTTAGTAATATAAAACTAAAAGAATTATTTAAAACTACGTTTAGATATTTTGGAAAATTTGTTTCATTTATTTTTTATGGCATTTCAATTTTTCACGGTCAATATAACCTCGATCTCCCCTACATAATAAAAACAAGTCACAATATAAAACTTTTAAAAAATATAGTGCATATAATTTTTTTTAATAATAATTACATTAAACAATTAAAAAAATATAAAAATGAACTGTTATCGTAATAGTTTGCTTTATGTAGAAGGCTTCATTACGATCATTATCTCGCTTAGTTTTCTACCTAATGATGTTATAAATTTTAGGAATTCCTCACTAAAAATGAGTATTCTACCTTATTTGAAATTACGGTTATTACCTGGTGGCAGTGATCATATAGCCCAGATATTATCCTAAAAACTATAGCTGGTCCCTTAAAACGTATTAACGTGCTCTACTCTTCATACGATCCCTTGCAATATGTTCTTCTTTTTCCCAGAGGCCGCATATTTATTCGCAAGAGCTAAGATGGACTAATTGCAGGGGTACTTCTTTTGAATCATGCTGAAAAATCAATGCATGTGTAATCCCAAGCAGCTGAAATATGTATTAGGCAGATACCATCGGGTCTTCTGTTATTGCTTGAGTAAAGGTATGATTTAAAGGTATTTATATTAGCTCTTTGGGCATTTGAGAATAAGTTATTGATTTTTGTGTGCTTGGGAAGCGGCCTTTGGAATAGTTATAATGTAGAAGATATTTGAAGGTAAAAAACAATCAATACATTTTGAATGAAGTGATCTACATCTCATCCAAAACGAAGTGAAATAACGATACGTAGTTCTTTAAGAGGAGAAGAGCGATATTTTTAAATGAAACTACTGGTAATCATTCGTAAAGTTCGATTTAGAATTCCGAATAACTCGACTGTGACAATTATTTTAATGAATCACTAGAGGGAATCAACGGAATAAGATAATATTGGAATATCCCAAGTTTTCTGGAGTCAGGATGTAGGTTTTTGCAAATACCAGTTTTACCTACTTACCCAAATATGAATATCATCTTATTGGTAGGGATCATGACAGTAGGTAACAAACAAGAATTGCTTAATCTTTAAGAGATAAAAGCATCAAAATAAAAAAGGGATAATAGAGAGAATTCGCTATTTTTGCATGAGAGAGTTGGAGCCCCAATTTATATGAAGATTATTTTAGGTAGCTTCAAGCATTGTGTGGATATTTAATTCATGCTTGAATATAAGGCAAAAAATCACCCTCTTCAAATCTAATTTTCCACCTATTTAAAAAAAAAACTATTCTTATCCCATAGGGGAAACTCAAGATCTAATATCAAATTTTCCAATAAATTTTTTTTTAAATATTTCCCCAATAATTAAATTATACTATTATGACTCGGATTATTATAATAAAAGTTATATTTTTTTGCATTTAATTTATAGATATTGAATATTAGTTAATATTTTATTAATTTTTATGTAATACAATTGTTTTAAAAATATTTTATTTAACTTTGTGAATAATTTTGTTATTTTCGTTATATTCGTTAGGTTCCGCTCTTATAATTATATTGATAATAGAGCTGGGTAGGGATAGGCAGAATTTTATAATAAATGGTTTAATTTACTCAATTACCCGTTATTTTATAAAAAAATATACACCGAGGTTACTCTATTTTCCATGGGGGGGGGGATTTAATTATCGTTTTATTAAGTGATATATAATTAAGTCATAAGTTAATATTTTAAACTATAATATTTTAATTTTTATGTGAAATGCATGTAAAGCAAAATTGTAAGAGCACATTTTGCCGAAACCAAATTTTCAATATTTTAATGATTTAAGTAAATTATTTTTAATCCAAAGTATTGCCAAACTATTTAATTTATCTTGTGTCATTATTGAACTAAGAATAGGTTTTAATTAACAAATAGAGTGGAAGAACTACTCTCGATAGTGATCGGCACTTTTGCTAAGATTTAGCCAAGGGGGAAAAGGGAGGCATTTTTAGGTGAGTTTTTTTGCATAAATTTTATTGGGGAACTTTAGTAGGTCCCCTTATTGCAGGTCTTTGGCTATGTTGCATGAAAACTTGCTTTTATACTTATATATATTAAAATAATATAATGATAAACAAACTGGAAAATGGATAATTATAAAAAAAAATTATGATTCACGTGATTTCAATTTTTATTCTGATTAAACAGATATTGAACATAATAACTTCTCTTCTTTCATTATAATTTCGCTTATTCTTCCCTCTTTAGAGATTTTAATAATTTAGATCAGTATCTAGACTAAATTTTATATGATAAATTTTGAATATATAAATTGATTAAAGTTTAAGCTCTCATGCAACATTTTAATATATATTTCAATATATATTCTTCGCTTTTTACACATAAATTTATATAACGCATAATCAATTTCTATATCAATTTCTACTTTGGAAATATATGAGGCGGTTAAAGTAAAATTTTCTCCATGATAACTTTCACACGACATATACAGATCTATATTGATGTGATGATGGTATTGAAATCTTTTGTCTTTTTTTTTTAATTTTTCTCCTAATCGTAAAATTGAAATTTTAAACTTAATTATTAAATTATACATTAATTTTATTATTGAGAGTCTCAAAAAAGTAGCGCACTCCTGTCTTCGCTATTATCAAAGGAGTAACACGAGCTATCACTATTAAAAAAGAAGGTATCTACTTTGATTTCCATTTTAATTTATAGATGGGGTTTATTATTAAAAATATTATGTGATTTATTTTTTGCCCCCCACCTCACCATTCCCGCAGAATCCTAAATAGCAAGTGCTTGTATCACCTGAGAAATTACCCAAACCCATGTCAAACCTAAACCCAGAACCCAGGTTCCTATATGAACTCGCATGAGCCTAACCCCTTTTAAAAAAATTTAAACTTAAATCCATGCCGGGCAAAATATTTTGTCAGGTTCAGAACTTGTGTTGTTAAAGGCTCGATTTGAGCCAATTTTTAAAAACAGCTGACTCAATACAAAAATTGATTACTAAGTATCGATATTTTGCTAATAGATGTCTAAACATTTGTGTCATCTATGAGCAAAATCTTTAGGCCTACTTAATATTTTTCTGAATAAAATATTGAGTTAGCCGTTTTTAAAAATAGACTCAAATCAAACCGTTTAACAACACTATCCACCCTGGTTTTTGAAATCCCATATAAATTATAAGCTAAAAAATGTTTATTATATTTGATTCTCAAACAATTGAATAATGAAATATTATATAAATTCTAATTGCTTTCCTAAGATACTTTTTAATTTATTAATTCGATTATTTAATAAATTCATATAAGAAAAATAAAGAAAAAATTTCAAAACCAAATAATAATTGCAATTTTTTTATAATTCTCTCAAAGGAAGCTTTTAACAATATTAAGATTTTATAAACCTTGGGTTTGGAGAATTTAAATATAACATTATATAAAAATATTAATCTTATATCAAGATTACTTTTTTTAAAATATAGTTATAAAGTTTATGACCATTCAACCTAATTTTTATCCAAAAATAATAAGAAATCGCAAAATTTGAATACTTAATAACAATATTTTTAGTAAATTTTCGCTTAATTTTTCATTCAATATGTAGTTAATTTAAATCATATTTAGAAAAAAAAAGTTAATAGTAAAATTTTAGAATAGAATTCAATATCACAAAAATACCCTGAATAGAATGAAAAATTTTCTCTTGTGATTACTATTTATAAATAGAGAGGCCAAAATTATTGGATTGTGATAGATAAAAATACTAATTATTTGCTACTTTTTCAAATATTTATAAAAATATAAGGGGGATTTTAATAAAAAAAGTTTTTATATGATTGTTTTATCATTTAGAAATTTATACAAATTTGCTAATATGGTTTGACTACTAATTATATAAAACCCTATCCTTTTATTGGTTAATAGATAAAACATAACAATTATGAAAAAAGAATCTAATAAAGAGAAAATTAAATTAAATTTTGAAATTTCTTTTTTGGACAAAATACATGTTATTTTTATATAATAATTTATATTATTTTAAAAAACAAATAGGATATGGGAGATTTTCTGGAAGTTTTTATGGTATATTTCAGAAATTTCAAACAGATGGTAGTTGAGTTTAGTGTGATATATTTCGATTTTTAAAAGAAGTTGTGATAGTATGTCCTAATTTTTTTATGGTTCAAAGTCCTATCATATCATTTTGTAAATATGGGTGAAAATAATTATCAGAAACAGTCTACAACATTATAATGAAATCCTCAATAATGTTAGAAAAAGTTTTAATTTACACTGCCTATTTTAAGTATTATTTTGTAGCAAACTTTTAATATTTTTATATATGAAGTGTAGAAAGGACATATGAGCCTACAGATAGGTTTTAAATTCACGTAATTCGGAGACCTCGTTAAATATGATAACATGTTTCTTTTATATATCAAATATAATAAAATTCCTCTATAGATTCCAAATATTTATAAATAATTTATAATCAGAAGTTTTGCTATACATAGAAATTAAGGTAATTCAGGTGGAGGTAAAAATTTACAATGATGAGGATTCCGCATAGGAGTTTTAGCAAAACTTTAAAATCTGGGAATTTTTACTCTATTCAGGTTACAACGAGGTAAAAGGATACAGTATCGTCTATGATTGTAGTTATAGTGTTCATTTTAAAAATAACTTGTTATAGCTAAATATCAGCTAATTCAGCTAAAGATATAGACGTGTACCAGAAAATCTGTTAACATTAAGTTTAATTTATACGAGTTACTTTCAAATTTAAGTTACTGTATTTTTAAGAAAAACCCCAAAGCGTTTTCCGATTTTTATAACCGGCTAACAATTGGCATCCGGCTTAAGACTTCTGGCTAAAAATTGGCTTAAACAGCTAAAAATATAGCAATTATCCAACTATAATAGTGATAATATTTCATGCTAATTTTAATTTTATATTATATTCTAGAAAATATTATATTTTTCAAAGCATTTTATAATAAATATATATATATTCAATTTAATACTATAATGAGTTTCCTCCGGTATTTTGTAAATATAGTTAATATACATGAAAAATCTAAAAAGCGTTCTCGCGATTGGTAGTCATTATATATATATAAATTGAAACTATTATAAATAAATATGTAGTTATAAATTATAAAGACTTAAATATATTATATATAATCATAAACCTGTTATTTTAAAATATAGAAATTAATCAATATTACTACTAATAAGAAGACAATAAAAAAAATTTGAAAAAAAGATATTTTGAGATGCTCGATTCTTAGTCACTATCTACGCTCTAGTATGACCTTAGCCTAATATATATTATATAGACATTAATACTCGATTTCTTTTATCAAGGTTAGTTTTTAAATTATTGCAATATATATAATTTTTTGATTTTTGATAAAAGATAAAAAATTATATATCAAAATTTTAAAGAGAATAATTAAAAAAAATTGAATAATTAACTCCTTAAAATATTGTTACCAAAAAAAATCCAATCTATCTAGTTTCTTTTTATTACCTTGATTTAATTTTTGAATAATTTTAGAATCTACAATATTATCTGCTTTTGCAACAACGTCATTTATTTCTTCACTCATAATCAGTTAATTTCTTATTTCTTCTTTTTAAATAAAGGTTAATTTTATTTTTATTAATAAAAAATATATCATTCAAAAAACTAAAATTTATTTCAAAAGAAGAATTTTAATAATTTTTAACTTTATATTTTTTATTTAAAAAAAAAAATTTTTAATAAAAAAAGTACCAATAAATTGTAGATAATTAAATCTAATTTTTTCTAAAAAAATTTAAAACATTTTTTGAACAAATCAATTAAATAATGTTTTTTTTAAAAAAAAACAATAATTTAAAATAATAATATTTTTTATATTTATATTAATTATATAATAATAGCATGAATATATTATAATAATGGGAATATAAAATCCTTGAGGTTTATTTTATTTTCTTAAAAAAATTGAAAGCCGAAAACAAAAATATATATTTCTTTAAAAGATATTTAAATTTTTAAATTATTAATTATTATTAAATAGATTAAATTTTTAAAGGACAGAAATAAAAGAGGCTTTTAAAGCCAAATGTGACAAAAAAATTTTTTTTATAATTTTTATTTATTTCAATGTCTAATATATAAGTTTAAAAGTTTTATACAGTTTTAAATTAATATATATTTTGATAAAGTTTTTTTAACGTGCGAAACCTTATTATATAAAATGTCTTTTGGATGTTAGAGCTCTGAAAATTATAAAGCTGGGAAAAAAAATTAATCATCTGTCATTCGGTAAGCCGTATCGTATGTCATCGAAAAATTTATTGACATATCCAAATTTTAAGTATGTAGGCAGGTTAACTTTATTAATTATCAAGGTTTATAAGAGATAAGACTCGAGAAAGAGTAAATCAGTTTTTCTTAGGAAAAGAAATTTTAGCTTTCAAAACTACAGCGCTGCTTTAAATAAATTATAAATTAACAAGCTCGTTTTAATCGGCAATTTCCAAACACTTGCGAGTGTATATGATCTTAAACCATTTCCAAACCAAACTTTTCAAAGCGATATAAAACAAACACATCTTAAGGTGTATATACTTTCTAAAAACCATATTTTTGTGATATAAGGTGTTTTAATTTTTTTATTATCAATTTTATTCATATTTTTTAAATAAACAAGTTGTTATTATTAATTTTTTTAAAGAATTTGAGAACCAAGCTAAGCAAAATTACTCGAGCTATTAATTATTAATTAACACTTTAATAATATTAGCAGTGTATTTATTGCTTATTTTGTATGGGCATATTGAAAATAATTTAGGCCTGTTTTCATGTATACTATAAATTAATGATCTAGCCTTATTTTTCAAGCCCGCCCTGATCCCGTACAAATTTTTTATTTGACCAAGCCTGATGCGAAATAAAAATTAAAAATACTATTTGCCGCCCAGCCTGGTCCTAAATTATTTAAATATAGAAAAATTGAATTTTTTTTTAATTGTAAAAAAAAATATTCTACAAATAATAAATGTTATTGTCTTGTTTCTTTCAATTTAAAAATATATAAATTTATTTGACATAATTAAATGATATCGTATTTAAAAATATTGAAGCCCGATCCGAACAAGCCAGAATTTTTTTAAAAAAAATATTAAACCCGACCTATTCCAAATCAAAATTATTTTCAATAGGTCCAGCCCATTTCGTGCCAGGCCATGGATACGGGCCGGGATTCACACATCCGTACTTTAAATGGTGTAAATAATATCCGCTCTAAATCACAATAGTCTTCTTTCTGGGGACATATATACTTTTTTGCAAAAATTTATCATTTAAATTTATGTATATCATATTTTCTTTATAAATTATGCTCATTTAATATTTTATAACTAGGTTCACTTATATAAAAAGTCGTATACATAATAGAAATCGTATGTTGTTTAGAATTTTTAAAAAAATGCAAAAAATGCGCCCCGGAAGTTTTTTTGTTAACTCGTTTTACATGGCCTTAAAATGATTTAAATTCATGAAGAAACTTTAGGCAAGCGTTAAATACATTCAAAATTCATCAATCCTTGCATCAATTTTCTTTTTTGAGCATCCCTCAACTTAATAAAAAGATCGATCTTATAATTAAACTTATCCATATTTGATTAATTCGATTTGCACCTCTTTCTGCACAACTTTTCTAGAACAGTTGGTTTTCATGTAGTAATTTTATCATACTCACATTTAGATTATATTTCTCTAATCTATTTACAGAAGCTGCCTCCTTATGACATTTTCCTCTGCCTCCTCATATAGAACAACATTTTAGGATACAATGCACATACCCGTACTATGGACCCGAAGAACCTGAACTCAAGCCCTTTTTATAGATTGGGGGGTTCAAGTTATCAAAAATATTCAAAAAATTTCTTGAAATATAAAATATATAAAAAATTACTTTAAAAATAAACAAAAAGAGATTTTTTGGTAATCAATTTCTATTTTCTTTCCATTTTTTGAAATTTTTAGTATATATTGCATCATTTTGTAAATAAAATTCCATTCTAAATGGCAGAGACCAGCAGAGGTATTTTTAGCAGCCCGAATTTTTTTTTTTAAAAATTTCTTTCGGCCCGGCCCGGGTTTTATATTGTCAGACCCGGCCCTGATTTTTTTGAAATATATTACATTTACTTTTAATTTTTATAACTAATGACGATTTTGAATATTTGGTTGAAATATCACGGCCCGGCATGGGTATTTTTTGTGACCCGGCCTACATGACCCGGTCCGGGTATTTAAATCAATTTTTAGCCCGGCCCATGTATATTTAAAATAATTAATATTTAGGGCTGATCCTGCAGGTCTCTGATCAATAATATTAATATGCCTATGGTAGGAATACGTTGCTTATCTTTTTATTTCAATTTTAGAAATTAAAATATTAAGACTAAAACATAAAATCAAGAAAGGAAAATAAAATCCGTTCAATTTTTAAATTTAATTTGATTAAAATTGTAAATAAAAAGTTTGTTATTGGCATGTTTAATTTTATTTGACGAGTCCGTTAAACAATATAAAAAATGATTCTTGAATAATTTTTTGCTAGTGAATAATGCTTATATGGAGTGAATAAAAATTAAGTTATTTTATTAATATTGCGTCAATCATGCTCTTCAAACCCTGAACCCGAACCCTTTTTAAGAATTCCAAACCCATACTCTATGCCTGTTTTCTTTGTGAAAGGGTTTACAACGATGTGGACCCCTGAAAATTCAAGTTTGTTTAAAAATATTATATATTTTAATAAAAATAACTCAACAAATTATTATCTTATACTTGGAAACAAAATAAATCGTTGGAAATATACAACAAAAGTCACTTTATGAAAAAGTTCTCTCTGAAAATTCCCAAGCGTGAATCAGCAGAACTTTTGGAAATATAAATTCGGAAGCTTATATAAATAATTAGTGCGGATTTAACTACAACCATTTAGTGTTACCCTTTTGATGAGAGTTTAAAGAAAAAAAAATCATTATTGGCAAAATAAATAAAAAATTGTCACGATTGGCATCATGCCAGATCGAAATATAAGCTCTAAATATTTGGATTGTGCCAAGATAATATTTAATGTCTCGAAAGTTCTTATTAATTCATCAATCAATTTTGCCAACGACTAAACAGAAATCAGTTATAAGCTAAATAAAAGCTATAGACTACGTCTTAATAACGAATTTTTAAGTGAGTCAATAATCAATCATATCGAATCCCCATTCAAAATATTTCTAAATCTTATTATTTTATGATCATAAAGATTATTTGTTCTTTTCTATTTATTTATTAGATATAAAATAAAATAGTTAAAATTTCAATATGTTTTGAATTGAGCTATAATTACCATTCATATGAATTCAAGTCTCATATTAAGGCGCAGCCTCAAGCAAGAAGTTCGTTCCTATTTTTGAAAGTTCTCATTCGAAAATAAAACCAATCCTAATGCTTAATTATTATCCGTTTGGTAGACAGTATATATAAAAAAGTTATTAGGCAAAATAATAAAATTTAGTAAATTAGCATCAAGAATCAAGAAAGAGGGAAAAATATAGTAGCCCAAGGCAATTGATAAAATATGTTAATTTTTGATCAAAAATATATAAACGAGCATTTCATTTAAAATATAATAATTATAATCATTAATAAAAAAAATTTGGGGAACGTCTAGTTTTTCATTTTTTTAATATAATTTATAACAAATTCTATATTATTTATTCATGAATTTTTTCATGCACTTTCTAAAAATGAAAGAAAAAATTTCTTAGATGATTTTATAGAAATAGAAGAAGAAAATTAAGGAGGGGATTTTATTTAAAATTAAAAATAAATTATGAAAGCAAATTTTATCCCTATCATATTTCCCATAGGGAGTTGTACCCTCCATACCCCTTATCCGTCTCTTTAATAATATAAGTATATTTTGAAAGCAAATATTTTGTCTAATCACTGATTTATTGAAAAATCCAGATCTGAGTTCCACGCTTAAATATAAGATTATCAAAAATTCTAGCTTCTACTTAGCACAATTGTTTTAAAAATATATATAGACACGTAAAATAAAAATATTAAACGTTTTATAATTATATTATTATTTAATAGTTACATTGTTTCATAAATCTTTTACGATCTCGCTTTACGTTTAATCATGAGAAGGTTTGAATAGGTTTATATAAAATATAATATGACATAATTCGCTATAGAAAAATTATAAGATCGTAACTTCAAATTTTTTTGAGTTATTTATTTAGAGTTTAGATTATTTTATTGTTTGGAAGAAATTATAATATGATTAATAAGAATAAAAAAAATTCTAAAAGGATAATAAATATATTTATGGTATTAATTATATAACAATACATCATATTTCTCAAGTATAAGGAATATGTAGAAACTTTCTCATGATTTTAATATACGATAAATTTGAGTTATATTTAATCTACAAAACCAATATTTTGATTTCCCACACATTATACTTTATAAATTAAATTATATATATATATGGTAACTTTGTAAAGAGTTATTAGCTCAATAAATAAAATACTATTATACCCATTTTTATATATTAGGAATTATGATATCAATTATAATTAGGGATAAATATAATTGGAAGAAATTATTTTCGTCGCCCAAATCTTTAATATTGA